TAATATGTTGGTGTTGCCTGCAGGTGTTATACAATTATTTGACAAATGTCTAAAATGAAATACCGACAGAGTCGAATGATTTACCCAGAATTTGTACTAGATCTATACCTTCTATTTGAACAGTTGATAAAACCTTCTGAACCAATATGAAAGTTAGGTTATGGTGAAGTTGTATACTAACATATTTTGCAACAAATGTATACCGAGCACAGCAATTTTGTACTACAAAAGTTGTAATATTGTTGCATATGTACAGCCTTTAACAGTTACTAAACAACAGTTGTATAAGTGCTTCCGTTGGGAGCAATTTGTTGGCTAAAGTAGTAAATTTACACAGCAAAATAACAAGGCTCGGGTTTGTTTTATAAACGTTACCATGGATGCCACAACACAACCATTTTAACTACCGTGCTAATATGCCGTATAAAATAGTTGTATAAACGTTTATGCAGCAATTAAAAATGTGTCCTATAAGGTGTTGTATAACTATTAAACACCTCATTTTAGAGCAAATATGTTGCAGAAAGCACGTTTGCATTCCACACAACATTAACAACATTAAGCCAGCATTGTGGTGTTCAGGCAACAACAATAGAGAGCTTTTATGGCTGAACAGTTCTTTTACCAAAAGCTTATAGCACTACTTCGCTAGTTGGGTAGTTATAGCATTACTTAGAAATAATGTTGTATGCTAGTCGCAGATAACAGCAAGTGGGGAGAAGGGTGTCTTAGACAATATAAAGTTGAAACAGGATCACTACAGGGTCTTTTACAGGAAGTTATGTCAATGATGTGTCACAGTAGGTAAGTTACTGTGGGAGAGAATTAAAAATTTATTCGTTTCCAAAACCTAAAGTAACACGGCATCTGCTGTAAAGCCCTGCGAATTTATGAAGCATGTGCCAGTCGCTTCAATTTACTTATCTCTTCCGAAATAGCTGACGCCAACCTCAACTTGTCTCAAAAACAACAAGTCGTGTTGTCAATTGTTCCCTAATAGGTCAAAGGCAACCGGATAACCAGTAGCCATTGTTCTCCAAGTTTGGGTGGAACAGCGGTCCGGTAAGAAACTTCTCCATTAATGAGGCTTTCGTCGCGACGGCAATACTGCGAGCTGGCGTCGATTGACGACGCCCTTTCAAAACAATGGATTGTATAGACACCGCTTTGACAGACGGTGTTTGTCTTGTTGGTCAAAAACAGGGATCGAAGATAGAAGCAGCTCCCAAAGTTTGGTGACAGAATCTCAGATCCAAAGGCTATGATTAAGTTAATTGAAATGAGGCCTTGGTGGGATTAAAAGCACGTGATTCTATTGTAGTGTACAGCTGAAAATTGAAAATACGATAGTTGATCATCATGTCTCGCCCCTGACCCTCTTGCTTAATTCGTAAATATTGTTGACAATAAAACAAGTGATGATAGTACAGGCTGTACATATGTACACTGGAGAGCATAACTATAGACCCGCCAACATTTTCCATTTTTTCTCTAGTTGGTTTAAATGTATCCTAAAATATCTTACAGGGATGGTAAAACAAACAAAAACAATAAATATGGAGCATATTCTAATCGATTTAACAATAAATGTATCACTGTAAGTTACATAAAGTTTTACTTGAACCGAGCGAAGGAAAACCGAAAGTTATTGGTTGCGCTATAGTTATGCTCTCCAGCTGTCAAGCTTTTTTGAGATTATTCATAGCCTTCGCTCATAAAATTTGCAGCACGACGCGCAACCATGGTTTTAAAATGCATGGACAATCATGGTTTAAATTGAAAAAATAGTTCCGGATCACAATAAATCCGTAGGATTTGCCAGTTACACGAGAGTTCCGAAGTAGTCCCAATCAAAATGCAATCAGAATCCAATAAAAGTAAAAAGCTTTTTTGACGTTCTGTATTTTTTGGTTTATGTATGACAGGGATTTTAATGGAAATAGATCCTGTTAAGCAAAGAACCGTAACAAAATCTATGCAAAAGATAATTTGGTGCCCACTGAAATTCATCAAAATATTGTGATGACTGTTGGAGGGTCATGCAGCTTCTTATGATATTCTTAAAACCATCAGACGCTTTGAAAGAGAAACGTTGTCAAGTTAACAATTGGCACAACGTTCATCAAGATAATACTTCCAACTGTACCTCCTGAATTGCCATTGTTGCCCTACACCAAACAGGATTTGAATCATTAGATGACCCATTACGCATTTGTCAGACCTAACCCCCAGTAATCTTAGGAGTGTTCTTCAGCAGTAGGACATAATTTTTACCGGGATGCTATTGAAATGCTAACATACCTTAACAAGGGCATTAACGTTAAAAGGGATTCAGTAGAAAATAAAATATGTGAATTAAATGCAGCCCTCATTCACTACAATAAACGGTGTCCTTTCATAATAATAATCAGTGCTGACGCTGCTTTGAATAACCACGTTTTGCCGTTATCCACAGTAATCGCAACTGGGTGCGGTTCCCGAAGTTCTTGGGGGAATGGAAAAATGGTTTCATTGAAGCATGTATATAAGATCTTAAAATAAGTGTAAACACGATTCCTATGTAGATTTTATAGGGCAACATTAAAAGCTCTGCTAGATCTGCCCCTGGACTGATCATACAGAGTGTTCCAGAATAAGATGTCAATCTGTCGCGAGCATAAAGATTGCAAACAAATAATGACATATGTTTCTATAAAGAAATGCCCTACAGGGCTACCCTGTGAATATGAGGTCCTTAAAAGATGCCACTGGAAATCTCTATGATTCGATGGTCGCCAAATAAAACCATAGGTTTAGAATGATGACTTACTAACATTTCGACCACCTTTGAACAACAGAGCATTATTAAGCGCAATTTTATTATTGAAAAATATTTGGCTTTTCGTCACTATCATGACAAACAAACCGAAAATGATAAACGTAGCAGACACGAAGCTTGGGACTCCTCCAATTTGAAGAGAGTTATGGCAAGCTTATCCAACCGTTTAATAATCATACTCTTAGCATAGATAAGGTGAGGACAAGCGTAGACACGGTAACATAAGCTCAGGGAGTGTTTATACAACTACAATCATAGTCAGAAGCAGTTGTTCTTTTTTTGACAGATGTTGGAGCATTGAAAAAATAAATGTAAGGGATATAACCTCACTTGTCGTTGCGCTCATTAGAGAAATAAAATAAATAAAAACAAAACAAAACAATCATATTATAACATCCTATATCAAGTAGTAGATTAAGTGGCAATTTTGAGACACAAATATGCTAAAATGACGTTTGAGTTAAAAGTTACGAAGTTCAACTGCTGATTATGCTTGTGCTTGTAATTATGACAAATTCTATAAACTGCAGAAAAGTACAAATTGTCTTTAGAACCGATCACGGCAAGAGTGAAAACAGCAAGCTGTCTCTTAAAACTGTAGCGCAGTTCGCATTGTCAGCCGGGTCGCGACTGTGGCCACTAGATAATAATAATAATCCGGCTTTATTTATAAACAAAGTATGTATAAAAAGGCGAAGTGTCGCTAGAAAATCGTTTTTCAACTTAACCCAATATATTACATATATAGAAAGGTGACATTATGTCGTTTTTTGCATTATATAGGTTTTTTGTGACATTGTGTAGGTTTTTCTGCAAGATGCCAACACTAGCGCTTGCACACTTGATATGTACTTGCTCTGTAGTTGTACGTGTTGATATTGTTGGAGGTCTAATTTGTAAGTTGTATACTATGGGTGCAAGGAACGGCAGTGCACAGGTGCATGGTGAGGATTTATTAATCTGTGTTGATTATCATTCCATTGGTTTCTTGTCTCAAATACACTAACTTGAGATGTATGCAAAGGTAAAAATTAGTTACACATCCGCTTTTTCTTATTCAGAGAATACAAATCAGCACCTAGATGTGAGGCAGTGCGAAAATGTTTGTGATACGTCATTCCTATAGTTTCTATGATGTGGCTTGATCGCACACAACGCGGGTGAGGACTTTATTTCCCGTAATGCTTCTCAAAGTTTACGAAAAAAGCAAAAAAAGGGTAAAATCGTAACGGATAGCTTTAAACATAACCTCTCTTCAGAAAAGACAACACAAATAATTCATCAGGCGTATCTAATAGATATATTTTACGGGCAGTTTTTTCAGTAATAATTTTCTCACATAGCAAATATACTGCTTTTATAGACATGCAGACCAATACACACAATCATCCAGATGTGATCTTGCTATTGTGCTACTCAACCATACATCTTTTCATACTCTACAGACTATCTCGGCATTCTGCAATCAACAATGCATGATTCGGAACTGACTTGTAGCCTACAGCATGGCCATTGAGCGTGTCGTGTCGTTGAGTCATTCCTGCATAGATGGGAGCTTCTGGTGTCGCTCACACCGCTCATAGCGAGAAAACGTGGAATGTACATACTATTTGCACACCAGGAACTCTAGGCAGCAAGTTGACATTTCATCGGTTTTTATATTTTCCATTGAATCATATACAGTGGAATCCACTTATAATGAACTTGCTTATAATGGAAACCCGTATAAATGGACACAATTTAAAGTCCTGTAAATAATGGCATGTAAAATCCTAGGATATCGCTTAAAATAGACTCTCGCTTATGGCGGACTATTTTAATCCATTATATGCGAGCTACATATTTTGATAGTTTCCCGAAGCAGATTTAGATGATGCAATCGTTTACAGCGGTTTGCCTTCGCAGTTTACATTCGAACTTGGCCACCAATGTTATACTGTATTTATTAGAGTTATAATATATATCATAGTTAGTGAGCTTGACCAGGGTCCATCGCAAGCAAATATATGTGCTCGTATGGCTATAAAAAAATCCACTGTCTCAAATCACGTTAGTGTAGACATGGTGAGAGAGTAGACGTGCTGTGTGTCGCTCTGCGGAAAATCTGAAAAACCTCCAGTAATAAGTGGAATTAAATAATTTGGTTCTTCTGCTCTGAAAGGTTAGTGGACACTAAATCAATATGCCATTGACACGAGATCAAATGACCGATGTTAAATTAATTATAAAGCAAACCATTGAAGAATTGCTCAGTGATGATAAATTCTTAACGCTTATTTCTGATACAATCGAACAGAAACTGGGTATAAAGGAATCTCAACAAAAAATGGTCGAGCTAGAAAAAGAAATAGTGGACCTGAGACATGCTAAGAATAAACTAGAGTGTGATGTGGAAAAATTTCAACAACATGCACGTCGGAAATCTTTTAGAATAGTTGGCATGAAGGAATCACATGGTACAAGTGTCCTGGAGCAGGTGCTTACCTTATGCGAAGATAACCTAAAAACTCGAGTTTTGGAAGAGAATATTGAAAATTGTTTTTGGTTAGGAAGAAAAAAGAACGAACAGCGTTCTATCTTGTTTACTGTAAATTCTCATAACCTGAAAATGAAGCTTCTGAGAAACAGGAAGTTGCTGAAAGGTTGAGGAATAACTCTGACTGAAGATATATCGTCTGCTCGATATAACCTGTATCAAAAGGCCGTGCAGAAATGGGGTAAGCAGAAGACCTGGTTTTATAACGGAGAAGTATGGGTGAAACTGCGGGAAAACAAGTTACAGATAAAAACAGAAGAGGACTTGAATAACGTGGGGCAGTGATGATCCCATGTACTGTTAAGGTTGCTTCAGAGTGGATGTGAGCTTTTCATTTTGGTTTAGTGCTCTTTTCTTCTCTTTTTTCTTTTCTCCTTCCTTTTCTCTGAGTTGTAATTTGTTACAAAACTGAGCCATTGTTTAGTTGTAGCAGTTTAGTTAGTTTCAGTTTTTTCTGCATTCATATTGTTTAGCTTGATTTGTATATGACTGACATTGATACAGCTTTGAATATTTTAGAGGATTATAACAATATCACGACCATCAGTTGCTCTAATTTTGATGAATTAAATAGTGTTCTGTTTGAGAGAAGTTAGGTTAAGTTAAACTTCACTATACTTCATTACAATATCAGGAGCTTGCAAGCTCACTATGATGAGCTTTGTATAAACATAGCGGTGTTAAATAAGAATAAAAATATAGGTATAATTGTTTTGAGTGAGACCTGGAATATTAATAATATCGACAGTTATAAAATAAATGGCTTCCAAATTTACTATAATGAAGCTAATTATAATAAATGCGATGGGGTTTGTATGTGTGTAAGAGATGACATTTCGGCAAATGTTTCCATAAAAAAGATAGATGTAGTGACGGCATTGAATTGTAGCTTTATTTTCAACAATAACAGTTTCAGTATTACTGGTATCTACAGGCCTAATGCCACGAATATACAGGATTTTGTAAACAATTTGGATTCGTATTTGAGAAGTACTGCAAACTGTGACATTTCGTTGTTGGTGGGTGATATAAATATAGACTTACTGAGAGAACATGAATACAGCAATTTAAGATACGTGAATATGTTACAATAGAACGGGTACATATCTCAGATTAATACACCTACTAGGGTAGATTCTAACTCATCTACGATTATCGACCACATATTTTTGAAGACAAACAGATTTAAGGTCTCTGAAACAGCAATTGAGTGTAAACCAATACTTTTGGTAAATTGTATGACCGATCATTATCCTGTTTTGTTCAATGTTGGGTATTTGAAAGGAAGTAATTGTATCATTAATAAAAACAGCTATGAGTTTCAGAAAATTTATGAGAAAAGGATGACAGATTATTTACAAGTGGTGACTTGGGACAGTGTCTTTTCAGAGAGTGATGTCCAAAAAGCAACTGATAACTTCTATAATGAATAATATAAAGGCATGGATCATTCAACGTATTATTTAAAAGTAAATAGTAAGACTAGAAAACGCAAGCCGTGGATGACTGACGGTATTGTTACTTCGATCAAGAAGAGGGATGAGTTGAAACAGAGTTTGACGAAAGATAATGATAATTTGATATTGAGACAGACCTATATCTCATACAGAAACAGAGTAACTAATCTTATTAAGATCTCTAAAAATCAATATTATACACAAAAACCCATTTTAGCTGGTAATAACTATAGGAAAAGCTGGGATGTTATTAATGAGGTAACTAATGCTAGCAAAATTAAAATCAATTAATCACAATGATCAGCAGATGGACGCTCCCACTGATATAGCCTGTATTTTTGATAAATATTTTGTTGATATAGGTGAGCAAATAACAAGTCAGATTGATCAAAACTCAATTCTTGATACATCAGATCTTCATATCGTCAACATTGCTCACTCTAAGTTTCTAACTCCAGTGGATAACATAGAGTTACAGCAAATAGTTTGTAATCTGAAAAATAATAGCGCACCCGGAAAAGATGGCTTACACACTAAAACTATCAAGATGATCATGAAGTATATCAGTCACCCTATAACTCACATTATCAACCTTTGTTTCAATTCCTCAGTAATTCCTCGCCATAATAGTCAACGATTTTAATCCAGAAGATGAAATTCCATTAAGTGATTTGTTGAAAATTAATAGTTTACTGAATATAGACAAATTTAATGAGTATGTAAATGTTGACAATAAGTTAATAGCAACACAGGACCTGTCAGACTCCAATTTGGTTAATGAAGGATCCGTTGATAACGAACAGGAGAACGAACTAGAAAACAACGATGAAGAAGAGCTTCCTGTGACAACTAAGGAGGTATTATACTGCGTGAAAAAGTTGCAACGTTATGTTCAGCAAGAAGCAGACAGTACAGCCACACTTACCAAATTAAATAAAATTCAACTTGCTGTTCTGAATAATTATACAAAAAAAATCTGTTCAAATGAAAATTACTAGCTTTATTACCAAATAATTTACGGTTTTTACACATACCTACTCAGTACGTATGCCTGTAATATGTGTATCAAATTCTGACAAAATGCAAATATCAAAATTACGTATAAATTTTTTCTATGTATCTTTATTTATGTAATACATGTTTAACAAACACATTTTAATCTTTTAATATGTTATTTCTGCTGCTTTTTTCATTAACAAACAAGTGTTTCTTATAAGATGGTCATCCGCTTATAATAGACTATTTGTCACAGTCCCGCCGAGTCCATTATAAGCGGGTGGCACCGTATATTCATAGGGTAGGTACTTACCTAGCCTACCTATACGTTTTATGACGTAGACTTACAAGATATATAAGTATTCCATATCTTCAGATACAAAGCTCCCCCCCCCCCTTTAAATTAGGTTGCCTGTTCTTGGCCAACTTAGCAAGATACCCCCACAATCACATTACAAGCATTTCACCAAAGTCCAATCATTTCCCCCCTTTCTATAGTGCTACCTAAACAACATTTTTAGCTAAAGTGTTTTTGTTGATTGGGGATTTTTGTAAAATTCTATAATACTTACAAAGTCAACCTCATAGTCTCGATTCAGAGCTAGTAGAGTGTTTCTCGTAAGGCATTCACAGTGAAAGTAGAAGGTATGCACTTTTTATAAAGTTAGACACCTTTGTCATCGTAGTTTAGTGAGTCTTCCGTACACCGTGACATCCGTTCCTCTGGACACATTTTATTTTTGCATGGTATTTTCTGATGATGTTTACCTCGATTTCTACCAAATGAACATAACAAATACCAGGGGTTCAGAAAGGTTCACGAGACTTCAAGCGCTCACATCTTACAACTGTTTATTCAATTAAATCAGGTTTCAAATACAGTCTGAATGTTGTGGGGTACGAGATCTTTCCTTTTATCAATTTTGTCAAGCTACGGTGAGTTTTTTTCATCACGATGTCTTTTATTTTCACACTGTCAACACGAGGATGGTCACATCTTTTTGTTACATCATAGAAAAGAGAAGATTAGGAGGGGCGATAATAAAGAGATGCATCTTCCTAGATACAAAACCCGCCTTACCCAAAGCACGTCAGCCGAGCAGTAAGCTCGTACTATAAATTAACCTCTAACGTCTTTGCATGATCTTCTAGAAAGCAATTTCTATAGCAAAGGTGTCAGATAAGTGCTATCGGATTAAGTTTTATTTTTTAAATGTACTTTTTTGCTGATTACAAATGGATGAAATGTGCTATATACTTGTTTCCACTATTTTAGACAAAAACTTAAATTCTATGTATCGATCATATGTATCCAGATTCACCATAAGCGAAGTGCAAAAAGTAGGGAGCCAAATCGTACGTTGCACACGCAGTGGGAAAAAGGGGAAACATCGTCGGCCTGATGGTGTAATTAAGGTCTTTGGTGAAATTTGTATCATGTGAGATCAACTGAGGCCTGTCAATGGTTCAAATATTTCGCTGTCGTGAGTTGCCAGATCAAAAGAGAATTGTCAGTTTCAATTTCAAATTGTTCCTAATCTCGAGTCTACTTAATATCTGCTATTTTCATTACTATACGTTTATTTTTATTTTGATACATCTGTCCGTCATCCGCTGGATGTCGCTTTCATCGCGGACCCAGCGATTACCAGGTTGCTTATGCGCCTAGATGTAAACTGGTTTGTGACACACAAAACACAAATTTTTAACCAAACTATATATGACAAACCATATACATACACTGAAAACCAACTACAACTGACGTCGTAATGTGTACGAAAGATAGAGAGAGAGAGTACAGCGGCACACCCTGTACATACATCTTGTAGAGTTTGTTCTAGGCTTATCATCTAATCCGCTCCAAGGTCACTATGGATGAATCAACCAGTAATTGGGGCATCAATTCCTAGAACAATGAACCGACGTAATTACGTGGTAACACAGGAAAACTTGGGGAGGGGAATTGATACCCCCATTATTCCGTGACATTTGAGCTACGTTTGACATTCTGATAATTGTGCTGTTGAATATACCTCATGATGGGGGACATCCATCATTTATGCTGCATGAATTAAACAGCATGAATCAATATACATCATCGTAGCTCCAGGACGTATTGTATCTATCGGGTCAAACTAATCAATCGCTCTCAAACTAGAAAAAATTGGCATCCAGTAGATTGACTCTATACTTTCCATGCCTTGGAATATGTATATTATTACTTCACTAAACCACGTGGTCTTATTAAATTACATTCCAAGCGTAGTGCTCGTAATATATTTGATATCGTGCCCACCTTGTATGTGCATATAGCGTCACCGCACCGTCTGCTACCTGCTTTTATAAGTCCCTCGGAATCAATAGCTATTCATAGCCATATGTCGCACAGCAAGTGTTGTTACACCGGTAGTGTATTTTACAAGTTTCAAGGGCAAATAGATGCGTAACGTTACCAGGGTTGTTTACACATCCAATACACGTCAATATACTGACAACATAAAATTGCGATACATGCTCACCCACCCACGCCCTTTGGAAGTTTGAGTACCGCCCTGTCTCAATAATAATATCATGTGCTCGTGTTTGGCAACAACGGATATAATCCGCCTTATCGGTTCATCGCATCGGAAACAAAAAAGCGAAAGAATTTGGAACGAT